TAATTTACCTACCCTATACCTATTTACCTCTAGGGTTTCTCGAAGCAAGATTCGAACTCATGATCCCAGATTGTCAGCCGCTTCTGTTTCAATCTGCTCTATTCTTGAATACATATTTTGATCATATGAGAGAAGTATAAGAAGCTCATCTTGAGTGAATTCTCTTGCAGTCGAATAATCATTGCCTTATGGTCATATAAACGTGCCTATCACTTGTGCTATTTTTAGCAACAAAATTGTGGTTGGTGGTTGGTCGAATGTAAACAATCATTTAAGAGTGCTCCAAGCAGCTTTTGAAGCTTTTAACCAAATGTCAATACAACTACATTCTTGTACAACTCTGGAAGCTATTATTCAATGTTTGATCAACTCAGGTGTTTTATAAGAGATCCCAATTGTTTGTTTTGATGCGTTTATTCCACGTTCTGTATAGCTCTTGTGAATCAGTTTAACTAAGGTGCTATAAAAGTTATCGTAGGTCTTATAAAGCATATAGTTAAACCGAACGTAAACAATCATTTAAGAGTGCTCCAACAGCTTTTAAAACTTTTAATCAAATGGCAATACAACTACATTCTTGTTCAACTCTGGAAGCTATTATTCAACGTTTGATCAACTCAGGTGTTTTATAAGAGCTCTCAATTGTTTGTTGGGATGTTCCCTAATAAAATTGTTATTTTGCTTAACGACGTGTTCGGGGTATCATCCAAGCCATTTGTGGAATAGTTCTATTATTTGGGTTATCGTTAGTTTATGTTAATTTTTTATTAGGGTTCCTAATAAAGAAAATACCATAAACGAACGATAACCCAAACGATTGAACTATTCCACAATTGGTTTGGATGATACCCCGAACACGTCGTTAAGCAAAATAACCATAACAATTTTATTAGGGTTGTTACGTGTAACCGGTGGAAACTAGAAATACTCAGAGGCAGAGATGGGCAGAGAGAATGTTTTGAACCAAATGAATTATCAAAATCTGAGCCAATCGAACATTCTCATTAGAATTTTTCCGATGATTTATTATTCTTACTAGAATAAATTTGAAGTATTGCAATCGAACAGAAATTCAACCACCTTTATGTTTTGTGTGCTTCTCAAATTCAACTAGTTTTTGGAATCAAAAACAATATTCTAACTGTATTGATTAATTGATCTTCGTCTATTAATGAATGGCACCAAGAAATGTTCAAAATATTGCGATGCAATCAATTATTATTTTGCACGAAAATCAAATTAAATATACAAGTCATTTAAAATGCTAGCTTTAGCAAGGGTTGCACGATAATTTAGGAACAAATCCCTGTTGCCGAATTGTATTTTGTTTTCTCCGCCTATCTCTCCCTCTGAGTATTTCTAGTGGAAACTAATGATTTTAAATTGTCTCACTACCATGTTTGTTTTGATTCGCTATAAAGTTTGACAGATAAAATGAGGGGTTCGTGGATTTTCCTATGTTTCGAGGGGTGCATCGATTAGCTTGAGACCGAAGGTAGTAGCATAGAGGTAACTCTAAGACTAGAAGGTCCCGAAATAACGTGCTCAACTTTTTCGTTCAGCTCTGGTACTCTCTTCGGTCCCAAGCTAATCGATTCACCCCTCGAAACATAAGAAGAACCAATAACCCCTCAGTTTATATGTCAAACTTTCATAGCGAATCAAAACAAACATTGTGTAGTACTAGAATTTCGACTAGAATGGGGTACGTTAATCGTTTGCTTGGGACCAATAGGCTAGTCAAGTAGTGAGCCAATTTAAAATCGTTAGTTTCGTATTGATTGTTGGTAGTAGGTAGTATCATAGAGGTAACTCTAAAGGCCCACGCACATTAGATCCGGATCGGACGCGTTACGGCAAAGTGACAGCTAATTCTATTGTCTAACTGTCAAACAAACATAGTTTTTTTTTTTTTTTTCCTTTGGTTTGTTTTTTCCGTCGATCTTGTTTTCCGTGCTGAGCACCAATGCTACCGACGTGCCAGGAAGGCAGCTCCCACACCTGGACCCTACCTATCGACCCATCAACTCATGAACCGGGGACCAACGGCTTTACTTCCCATCCGAAGGAAGGCGTGATCAGAGATGTTATGCCTCAGAACATCCCGGCGGCGCCGACTGGGATTGAACCCAGGCCTGCTGGGGTGAGAGGTAATCACGCTTACCACTACACCACCGGCGCCGTTAAACAAACATAGTGTAGTACTAGAATTTCGACTAGAATGGGGGGAAGTGGAAGATTAAAATCCGTCACCATTTTGGAATCCAAGATGGTGGACCAAAATCCAATATGGCGGCCCCCGGACAGGAAATATTCTTCTTAACCCATGCAATATGAGTATCTACGGAATGGGCTTGATGAGTGGAAGAGGAAAATTGAAATCCTCCACCATTTTTGAATACAAGATGGCGGACCAAAATCCAATATGGTGCACCCAAACAGGGAATATGCATCCAAACTCATGCAATATGGGTATCTACGGAATGCACTCAATGAGAAGAAGTGGAAAATTGACATCCGTCGCCATTTTGGAATCCAAGATGGCGGACCAAAATCCAATATGGCGGCCCCCGTACAGGGAATATTCTTCTTAACCCATGCAATATGAGTATCTACGGAATGGGCTTGATGAGGGAAAGTGGATAATTGAATAGGTTTCGAACCATGTACCTTCCGATCACCAGACGCTTGCCTTGTCTTCTGAGCTATCATAGAATACATCATATGAGCTGCTCAATATTCAATAAAAACTTGCTTGAAACTGAATACCTATCACCACTCCCTATCGTCCCCAGGTCCAGTGGAAATCATTAATTCATTCATCGTTGTTTTACATGAGACCAATTCTACCTCTTCACCTCTCCAATTTCTAAGGAAAGGATGCTGGGTTATTTATTAAACTAAATCAATAAATTTGTTGTCGTGAGTAATGTGATCGATGATTACGGTTCAGAACACAAATAAAAAAGGGCTGAGCTTGTGATTGAACTCGCGACCTTGTTGTTAGACTGAACCAGTGTTGTGGAATAATGAATCTAATACGTCGTTTACAAAGCATTCACAAAGCATGCTATTCAAACATGGACGCATAGTGGTATAAGAGCTATTTTGCTGACTGTTTTCACCTTTATACAGCAATATTGTAAAGCAATGCAATGAAATCTAATTATTCGACAACAAACGTAAAACGGGGAAATCACTCTATCTCTAACAACAAACGTCAGATTGGCTGAAATTTTTTCTTCAAGTAGAAGTCATTACCAACTGCCTTCTGTGAAAATTTCAGCTTGATGAGTTGTGCCTTTGATTTTTAAAAAATAGTAATAGAATTATTCCACAAAAGTAAAACAAGTAAATCGCTCTATCTCTAACCCCAACCGTCAGATTGGCATGAAATTGTTTCTACAAGTAGAGGTTGATGCAAACTCTACCATCATGGAGAAGTAACTACAACGCACAAAAAAATCAGATTCCCTAACACAGACATCAGATTTCAGGTGCTAAGACTCATTGGCGTGTCTCATGGGGGAGCCTTAGGGGCCAGGCTTCCCCTTTGAATTACCTAGTCTCCACGCCGTTTGCAAGCAGGTTGAACGTTACTAATTACACCCAACAATTCGAGATGTTGTTTAATGTTCTATGTGTAGACTGCTTTTCTTAACCTTTGCTTAACTTTTTGTTAAAAATCTTTAATTAAATTTTTTCCACAACAAAAGTAAACCGGAGAAATCACTCTATGTCGTACCTCATGGGGGAGCCTTAGGGGCCAGGCTTCCCTTTGAATTACCTAGTCTCCACACTGAATGTTTTTTCGATTCTTAACTCGATCATCCCGTTTGCAAGCAGGTTGGACGTTACTAATTACACCCAACAATCCAAGATGTTTTTTAATGTCCTATATGTAGACTGCTTTTCTTAACCTTTGCTTAACTTTTTGTTGAAATTCTTTAATTAATTTTTTTCCACAACAAAAGTAAACCGGAGAAATCACTCTATTTCTAACAAAAAACGCCAGATTGGCATTGATATTGTTACAAGTAGAAGTCATTACCAACTGCCTTCTGTGAAAATTTCAGCTTGATGAGTTGTGCCGTTAATTTTTAAAAAATCGTAATAATCACTCTATCTCTAACAACAAACATCAGATTGGCCAGAAATTTTTTCTACAAGTAGAACTCATTACCAACTTCCTTCTGTGAAAATTTCAGCTCTGGTCTTAGAGTTACCTCTATGGTAATATTGACATTGCGCCAGATGACAGGAAAAACGAATGTTTCGTACCATTTATGAAAGATGTGTTGTATGTACGATATTCATTTTTACGAAACGGTTTTCAGAGAAATAACGAAAATACATTTTCAGTGTACTATTCGTACAGTATTTATGTTTACGGATTTTTCTTGCAATACTGAAAATTTACATAGGTATATTGAGCGTTACCAAAACTCAGTTTGTACTTACTGAATGTCGGTTACTCGTCTGATTTCAACTGAATTTTCAGTAAAATTTTAAAAATGAATAAGTGCGTCCAAGACAAATTTAACGTTAATAAAAGACCAATTTATAAGCGTTTGCGCACTTCTAATCCCACAAATAAAAAAGTTTAATCAAAGTAGTTCAAAACATGATTGCATACAATAATATCATAGAGGTAACTCTAAGACCAGAAGGTCCCGAAGAAACGAGCTCAACTTTTTGGCTCAGCTCTGGTACTATCTTCGGTCCCAAGCTGATTGATGCACCCCTCAAAACATAGGAAAATCCACGAACCCCTCATTATATCTGACAAACTTTCATAGCGAATCAAAACAAACATAGTGTAATACTGGAATTTATACTAGAATGGGGTACATTAATCGATTTGCTTGGGACTAATAGGCTATTGAAGTAGTGAGCCAATTTAAAATCGTTAATTTCGTATTGATTGTTGATAATATTACCTTCTGACAAGTAATTGATTAATAATAAATTTGCCACATTTATCCGCAATTTTTATTTGTTCATCATCTTATGGTATTGTGTTGATCCTCTGTTTAAAGCTTTACTTTTACTTGTTGTTGTTTTTTTTGTTGTTTTCAAGACACTTTATTTGATACATTTTTATTATTCTTATTGAGTATCAGTCATCGTTTACCACCCATTCGTCATTTTATGTACTACTTCTGCTTCCATTCGTGATCGTTCGATGAATTTGTGAATCCTCGAAACAGCTTTATGTGTAACATTTCCAGGTGGAAAATACGGTAGCATACACGATAATTCCTTCTGTTGAGCTTGTTGCTTTTGTTGTTGAAAACTTTGCTCACATACGTTGCACTCAAATTTCGCTATTGTCCGTCTTTTTCTATCTTCTATGTAGTAAATATCTTCTTTGAATATAGCATTTACCAATAATTGATTCGATATAGGGTAAAAATTTGATACTTTGTGATACAAAAAACCTACATATACATCTTCATTATTGGATGCTTGTAATATAAACTGCGCTAGATTTCGGGGGCTGGAATAATCGTCGATTAGAATCGCTGAGTCGGGGTTTGGTAAATAGCTCTGAAAAATGATTGTATTGAGTGTACGTATAATGAATAAATAAGTGTTCTACTTACTCTTATATTGGTTGCTCCGAAGTAGATAGGAACAATTCCCAAGGTTAAGGATTTCCAAAATTTATCAGCGATGTAGTCTTCACAAATCATATCTTGGTATACAATTATAAACTTGTATTTTGAGACAAAATCGTAGAAATCCCGTATAACAGTCTTATTTCTTGAATCGTTTGTTATACCAGCTGGAAACGTTTTGTTCCTCAAACAATGACCGTATGAATCTATTGCAATGTGTTTTCCAAGCTCCTTTACATACAATTCTCGACCAGTAAGTGTATCGCAATTGGATTGAATGTATAAAATTGGTGCTAATTTCATTTTCCTCTGAAAAGCCGTTTTCTGTCCAAATGTGTACATATTTTTATTGCTAATAAGCTTCTCTAAAGTTGTAAATGGCTGAAAGGTGAGTGGAACAGTGCTATGCCGGCTAAACGTTGACGAAAAATTGAATAAATCTAATCCATGTAACAAAAACGGTACGCTTTTAGGAGACCCATCGTGATATAAGCCCCAATATTCGCCTATTCTGCGATTGGAGGGCATGTCGTTGATTAAAATTTTGGTGCCATAAAATAGATAGCCCTGCAAATATAAGTAATTAATTTCTTAAATATATCCATTACATGTTAATTTTTCTACTGTAAAGAATGGATCTGTCTTTGCTTTCCTATCGCTTGTGAAGCGGCATTCTATTTGGTCACATTTCCTGTGATAATCCATCTCCTTTTCATACGGGCTCCACCAAACCAGCACATTGTAACCTGCTTTCGTGGGGCTCCCATGTCTTTTATACATCTATTAATTTTTAATAGAATAGTAAGTATAACTTCTATCAGTTCATAATAGTAGAGGGACTCACGTATGAACAAAAAATCAATATGAATAAAAAACTAAACAACAACAGTTTTGCATTTCGGTACCGCCCGAACGACATTGTGAACAGAGACTGCTCATATCAGCCAATCTCAGTACACAGCTCCAAGGGCATCACATCATATGCAAAACCATTTAACACATTTCTTTATCAGTGAGAGCAAAAGCGTACACCCATATATGCTATCGTTGTTCAGTTTGTTACGGCATAAACAGCTCGATGTGACAATTGGGACAATGCCTTGATCAGGCGTTTTTTTTTTTAAATTTTATTTGGAAATCGTGAAGTTCAAGCATTCATTGATTCGTCAATGATTGCTAATTGAAGTTGTTTTTCATACACCTGAGAGATTCATACTTCATACTGCAGAATGTTTCACCGCATGAATAGCTTCTGAAATTTGGTCGCCGTAAGGTTCTTTTTAAAATAATTTTGAAATTTTTATGAAAGCTAAATTTTCGAATAAAGTTTGTGCCTCCTAATAAACTCGTGAAGGTTTTATACGAAAATATTCATTCTTCAAAAACTTGCTTGTACACTACAGTTCACTGGTATTACATTAGTTGAAAGAAAACATGCAGAGGATGTAAGAAATCTACAACTACATTCGATGTTCATTCCATTTGTTTGTCTGTACGTTCAATAATTTGCATGGTGATTCAATTGATTATTGAAAATCCGGAATAACTCTGCGTTCATGAAGAAGATTCAGTGTGTGTATATGTGTGCATGTTTTTTTTAATCGTAAGGTTTAGGAAAGCTTCGAAAGCCTGGCCTGATATTGCTAATTAGTTCGCGGATCGCCTCACCACTTACGTTGCAGCTCCGACAGAATTTGAGTGACTGCCTTCCAGGTGCCGTCCTTTCGACACATTTCATCGACGACATTCTCTGCATTAATGACAGGCATCTTCCTTCGCACTGCTTCAAAACGAGGACAGTCGAAGACCACGTGCTCCGGTGTTTCGTCTACATTTCCATATTTCGGGCAGAGGGGTGGCATTCCCAGCAAACAAACGCCTATTGAAGAAACGACTTCTTGTCGATTTTATTCAACTGCATGCTTAATACTTGTACTATTTTTAATGATAACTGCTGTTCAGACTTTGTTTACACAAATCTGGAGAATTTATTCAACAACAACATTGAACTACTTGGTGTTGTATAAGGTATGTCGAGAAGTTTTTATTCGACATACTTAAGTTGTAACAGAGCTTATTCGATAAATTTTTTGATTATTCAGCGTTGCTTCCTTAAACAGCGATAGAATAAAGGTGTATTATATACGCTTGATTATCATGTGAAGTAACGTTTAATTAGACACTATTATACATTTATGAAACGATTATTCGACTACGGGATAATTAATCCGAAAATAAGAACGGAAGAAGAGCAGGGTTGCTGTATCTCTCGTTAGTGATTGTTGTCATTATTTCTGTCGCACGCACGCACTCTAGACTGATGCTAATTTTTAACATTTTCGCTCCACAGTGCTCAAACGGTCCCAAATCGGGTCCTGATTAACCTCCCATAATTTGAACTCATTTGATAAGAAACTGACCGGGCACTAATCATTTGAAGTTTATATGGAAATTACTAAGGGAAATCCAAACTGTTTGATCATTATCTTCTAGCCTTTTTACTGGCTGATTTTTTGGTAGGGAACATATGATTTGACGTTTGGGTTGTGTCGTTTGACTTATAAACGATCAAATTTGAACGTTTACTCGTCAAACGACACAACCCAAACGTCAAATCATATGTTCCCTACCAAAAAATCAGCCAGATTGTGGCGGCCATAAGCGCTCGTAAAATGCTGGATAGCTATTCTTTTGAAAAAATTCTCAGCTACAGCTTTGCAGAATAAAGTTTTTAAGCCAAACTTCAATTAAAATAGTTTTTAAATCTTTAAGAGACTGATAATCTTATGGCATGAGCAAGCAGCTGTTTTGTGGGCAACACTGTATGCTGCAGTGTGACATAATAGCCATGATTTTAGTGCTCTATTATACGCGCCAGAAACACCAATGTTGCCTGCTGAACAGTTGATTGAGCATAATCATAAGACATTAGACGAATTTCACGCTAACTCGACAAATGGTTGGCAGCACCCTCTCAGATGTCAATAAAACTTTTTTTTTTATATGCGTTTATTTTTCCAGGCTCATTTGCCGTAGCTTTCCGGAGCCGATATTCATCGTTTGGGTTACAAAATTACTTAAAACTAACGTTAGTAAAGCGGGGGCCGATTACTCGCGGCTATCTCGAGGTTAGGTGTAACAAATTGTAACAAACGGGTGGCAGGGTAGGGATTGAAAACACAAGGTTTTTTAGAGCAATGTGCTCTTGATCTAGAACTAAGCGACATACTGGAGAAAAAGACAAACATGGGGGTACACCGATGGAGACCTACCAACTTGAGAGAACGCAAGATGACACTAACTACTAAATCCTTAGATCGGTCCGTTATAAAAACACATAAATTAAATTAAAATATTCGAGATCTCGGCTCGCCAAGATGTCTCTAACGGGCTGCATAGGTTGTTTTCCTCGGGCCCTGAGGGATGCGGATAACTCGGATCTAGCAAAACAATGTAGGGTGCATGACCAAAGCACGTGGTCGATATCGTGATAGCCATTACCACAAGCGCACAAATTGCTGCCTGCGAGCCCGATTCGGAAGAAATGCGAGTCTAACGAGTAGTGATTAGACATGAGCCTTGACATAACACGTATAAAGTCACGGCTCATGTCCAATCCTTTGAATCATGACTTGTTGGATACCTGTGGGAGAATAGAATGTAACCATCTTCCCAGATCACTCTCATTCCATTTTTGTTGCCAGTTGGTGAGGACGTGCTGACGGGTAATTGAAAAAAATTCCGCAAAGGCGATTTGTCGATCAAAAATATCGCCTTCCATAGCGCCCACCTTAGCTAGCGAGTCCGCTTTCTCATTACCCGGAATTGAGCAATGAGATGGGACCCAAGCTAAGGTGATAATATAGGAGCAGTTAGATAAAGTACTCAATTTTGCTCGGATTTCGGTCAGGAAATACGAGGAGTGCTTCATCGGCCTCATTGATCGAATAGCCTCCAACGAGCTAAGGCTATCAGTAAAAATAAAATAGTGATCAGATGGTAGTGAGGCAATTTGCTCTACTGCGTAGAATATGGCTGCTAGTTCCGCAACGTATACGGAACAGGGTTTTTGCAGTTGATATGAGGCGCTATGAAATTCGTTGAATACTCCAAATCCAGTGGAAGCGTTTATAGTTGACCCATCTGTGAAAAAACTCTTATTGTTACTAACATGGTGGTACTTGTTTGAAAAAATCGACCGATAGTGATCTGGTATTCCACGGATTTCTTAAAACATGGTCAGATCAAAATTTACAGAGGAACTATAAAAGTCTTGGAGGCAAACACGAGAGGAATTGAATGAAGAAGGGCCAATCTCCAGCGTCATGTACTCGTAATAGAGACTCATGAATCTTGTTTGAGGATTTCTGTCGAGCAGCTTCTCAAAGTTTTCTATTACCAATGGATTCATTACTTCACAACGGATAAGAAACCGGAAGGACAGTTCTGCGAAACGATCTGTCAGTGGGATAACACCCACGAGTACTTCGAGGCTCATCGTATGCGTCGAGTGCATACAGCTGTAGAGTATAAACCAGCTGTATAAAAAAAAAATAAATAAATAGTAAAACAATCAAGTGTATATTTGTACCAGTGCATTCCAGCAGCCTAGCTGTAAACTCGTTCTGATAATATTCCCCTATTTACATTTCATACTATGTACAATGTACATTAGTCGCTTAGATGCGAGACAGTAACTCAGTTTCCGGAATAAATGGGTGAGAGAACAGACCCGAAAGAAAGACTCTTTTAATCGATCTTCGTATATGGTTCGGTACCCGACTCATCGCTCTTTCTCTTCAAAGAAGAGAATTCGCTCAGAAAATACGAACTAAAGCACGAATAAAGGGTACACAAAAGAAGGAGAGAGCATTGTGTCAAAAAAAACGAACGGCGTGAGTGGAGTCAGTTTTTGGAGAGAAGTTGTTGGAAACAGACGTGTTTGTGCGACACCGAAAAAAAATAATAAAAACAAAATGGAGGTAAAAAGAACGGCTGGATGCGACAATGGCGCAAGAGGAAACGCTCCCAAGAGGTAAGTTAAAACTGCATTAGAACCAGGTTGAACAATCACCTGGGAGTGAATTTATGAAAAGCCAGACATCAGCTCTGTGCGGCTGTTAGATTAATTTCTTTGTCCCCTGGGAGGGACTTGGAGAGTATGGCAAAGATAAAAGAAATCGAATTGCAGCAGACATTTTAATGCTCCCATGGGAGGGACTGAGCTCTGTGAGGCTGAAGAATATCCCCTGTGACGGATTGAAGCTCTGTGCGGCTGTTAGATTAATTTCATTGTCCCCTGGGAGGGACTTGGAGAGTATTGCAAAGATAAAAGAAATCGAATTGCAGCAGACATTTTAATGCTCCCCTGGGTGGGACTGAAGCTCTGAGAGGCTGCAATAGTGTATCGGCAGCGAAATGCATTCTTAGTTTTTTTTTTTTAATCATTTTTGCTCTTTGGGTGCCTACAGTGGTCGTGTGGTACGTATACAGGTATTAGTGAGAGATACAATAGAGTATCGAGTAACATATGCAATTCTCAATACGTTTGATTTGTGGAAGTTGAAATGACGCCGTGGAATGTTTCGAGCAGCAAAAATCGGACTTTGTGTTATCGATTTCTTCAATCGCATACTGTCATATGATAACCGTTAACGACTGTTATTACGATTGTTTTCTAGGGACAGCAAAAAACCTACCAAGAAGGATTTGGACGTGTTGAAAATGGCATTGGAAACCGAAAAGAAGCGAAGCGCCAGCCTTGCTACAAAGTTGAAGAAAGTACGAATGGATAAACGTGAACTTGAAGAATCCGTCAATCTTGGTGAAGCAGCACCTAGTTTCATGCAACGAAACTCCACGATGCATGAGGATCAGCGAATTGGTGTTGGTAAATCATCGCTCATTGCAACAGTGAACAATCTATCTTTGGCGTCAATT